TTTTTTTGATTAGTGGCTCCTTATCTGGCCGATTTATCCCACCCACCCCTCCCCGCCTATGTTGTTGCCCCCTCTGGTCTTACCTTCTCTATCTGTCTCCGGGTACCCCCTGCGTTGCCCTGTCAGCAGGCCACGTCAACAGACAAGTGTCAGCAGGCCACGTCAGCACGAGACGTCAGCAGGCCACATTAACTGACAGCAGAGCCACGACAGCAGCAGGGAGTACCACGTCAGCAGGCCCCCGACCTGGTCTATGTTTTTGCACTCGCAAACAGCCGTCATGGACCAGAAGTCCAAGGAAACGGATGAGGCCTATAAGGCCCGGATGCTGCTTCTGATTACCGAAGCCAAGCAACGGTTGGATGCAGTACCAACCGCCGCAAAGAAGAAGGCAGAGGACGCCGGGAACGCACGTCTGTTGGCAATTGAACACCAGCGCCAGCAAGACGAGGCAGCAGCAAAGGCTGCCAATGAAGAACGACTTCAACGACGCGAGAAGATATTCAGCGGAGAGCAAGCTTTGCTCACAATGGTAGTGGACTGGCGGGCCGAGGCTGAGAATGGGAAGCTGGAAGAGAGTGGAAACAAGATCGCTCTTCCAATCTCACGGACCTCTTGGCCACGTGCATTGCACAGCAGGAGAACATTCACAACCTCGACGACGCGGTTCACACTTACAATCAGGTGTTTGACCAACTCACCAGCCGTCTCCAGCAACTGGAACAAACCGTCGCCGCCCCCGTTGCCAGCTCTTCCAACACCTCTGATCGCCTCGAGGCATTGGAGATTGACGTCGGATCCCTCAAGGACGGCGTGCAGTTACAGAAAAACGCCACGCAACAGTTGGAGCAGCGGATCTGTACTGCCGCCACTCACTCGAGATCGGAACCACGCGAGGCAACTCCGAAGTTCAATGATCAGGAGATCTTCTGCGATTCGACGAAGACGGACCCGATTCCGTGGTTCCTAAGTTCGAACTCAAGTTGCAGCTAACTACGTCAGCGAGCACAAGCATCACGCATACTTATACTCCCGCTCAGGGGGCGCGTGCCAAGCATGGCTGGACAATCTCCTCTCCAAGTACGGAGTGGTGGGTGCCGACTTGCATACCAAGATCAGTTGGGTGATCTTACGGCGGCGTGGCATAAGCGGTTCCAAGTAGAGCCGCCGGAGATCAAGGCAATGGATAAGCCGATGGTCTTCGAACAAGGCACGCTGCTGAGTGTTGACTGGATTGTCGAGTACCAACGCTTGACATCCGTCCCTGACATTCAAATGGGCTTCAAAGCCATCAAAGACTACTTCATCTCGAGGTCGTGTCCGATGTTGGGCAATGCCTCGACTCACGTCGAGGACACCCTGACGACACCGGCGGAGCTCTTCGACAAGGCCGTGCAGATTATTGTCACCAACAAGGAGGCTAAGAACCTCCACCGTTCGTCTGCGACATGCCCAAGCAGAAATCAGCATCGACCTAAAGTGGCCATGGTCGCAGCGGCAACGCCAATCGACCAAACTAGCAAGGCCGTGTCTGCCAATGAAGGGGACAGACTCGCAGCCGCCCAGGATGGTGGTCGCCCCGACAAAGGCCGAGGACGCGGCAAGACGAAGACAAACACCGCATCTATCCTCGGGCCTGACGTAGCAGCTCCAGCCCCATGGTCCCAATACGGTCTCTCCGAGCAAGCATACAAGGCACGCACGAGATTTCGTTATTGTCTGTGGTGTAACAACGATCTGCACGAGACAATGGGCTGCCCGTCGAAAGGCAAAGGCAAATCGGGAAACTGAGCACCGCTTGGAGTAAGTCAACGACATTCTTGACACCTTCGGAACCGGTCACTTCGCGGGTGACCGCCCTTCGTTCCGAGGCACATGCGGAAGTCGATAGTCCTCCTCTTCTTTATTCTTTTGAGGAATATGCTGCCCGACTCGTTCCTACACTGGGTACTCATGCTCAAGGACAAGACGTGTGTGCGACATCTTCTCCGTCCGGCAAAGGCGATTTATCGTCTTCGAGTGGTTCTTCACGGGATTCGGCGCGCGAGTTCAACATAGAGGTATTGGACCCGCTCACGTTCAAGGATTTCGCATGGCTTCCTCTCCTGACCATGGGCCGCTTGCGGGGACCGCAATGTGCAACATTATGCGCCCATCTTCATACGTGTTTATCCTTCTTTGCACCACCAACGCCGACGGATGACAAAGTCGCGGTGGGGGCCATCCTTACGTATGTTACCAAGGTGGCCCGCGAGTTTCGCAAGCAGCGGTACGACGACAACAACGCACCGCTCCTCTATGTCTGCATCCAAGTTGGGCAAGCGTCTTGCAACGCTTTGCTGGATAGCGGCGCGTCTCGCAATTTCATGAGCCAAGCCTTTATGCAAAGGGCTGGCCTTGGCACACAAGTTCGGAGGAAGGCAAACCCGGCGGCGATCAAGTTGGCTGACGGAAGGACGCAGCAACTTATCGACCGCTACATCGAGGCCGTACCGATGTATTTCGCACCTCATGCATGCGAACCGGTGACGTTCGACATTTTGGACACGGACTTCGACATTATTTTGGGAATGCATTGGCTTGCAAGTGCGAATCACACGGTCAACTTCCACCGGTGGACTCTTACCGTTCGCGACGCTTTCGGTGTTGAAGTACCGTGTACTATTCCTCTTCCGCACCCTTCGATCCGATGCCAAGTGGTGACGACCAAGTCATTCCGGGCTACTTGTGCTTACAAGCAGCCCGATGAAATCGGCCTATGTTTCCTACCGACCGTCGCTGTAGCCGACTCTTCACCCGCGGACTTGTCTTCGGACCCCCGTGTGGTGTAGTTGCTTGACAAGTTCGCTGACATCTTCGAGTCACCTACTGGTGTGGTGCCGGATCGAACGATCTCTCACGAGATCATTCTTGAGGTCGGTGCCGTGTCGTCGAAAGGTTGCATTTATCGCATGAGCGAGGAGGAGCTTAAGGTCCTCCGCGCGCAACTCGATGACTTGTTGGACAAGGGCTGGATCCGCCCTAGTAGCTCACCATACGAAGCGCCAGTTCTCTTTATACGGAAGAAGAACAAGGATCTGCGATTGTGCATCAACTACCGCAAGCTCAACGCGCAAACCGTCAAGAATGCAGGGGGCCTCTTCCTCGTATCGACGATCTTTTTGAGAGACTAGGTGTCGCGAAGTATTTTTCTAAGTTGGATTTGAAGTCGGGATATCATCAGATTTCGATCCGACTGAACGATCGCTATAAATCCGCGTTTAAGACGCAGTACACCGAAGGGCATTAGTCCGGTGTCGGACAAGATTCAACACAAGCCGGTATCTTCGGCTCCACGTCGCACCCGCGTCCAGGTTCCGCCTTCAGATCGTCAGCTTCGCCCTCGACCCGGCTTGACTTCATAAGGAGAGGGCGTGTTACATGCTACGCCTGCAACAGGCTGCATGGGCCATTTTCAAGCCCGTGTCGTTTACAGCCCGAAAGCCTGAAAACAAGGGCGTACACGCCCTGTGTCGTTTCGACCTGAAAGCCTGAAAACAAGGGCCTCCAGGCCCTGTGTCGTTTCAGCCTAAAACAGGGCCTTTCCGGCCCTAAGTCTTTTCAGCCTGAAATGGAGGGCCATTTTCAGACCCTCATAAGATCGACCTGCCCTCAAACTCAGGCACCAGGCCTGGGTTTTAGCACAGGCCGTTTTGGGTCTGTTTTCAAGACAACCCTTGGTTGCTTGGTTGAGCTTCAACGCCAGGGTCTGGCACGTTTTGGCATTGGCAAGAGAAGCTCTTGGACGGGCCAGCACTACATAGGATTGGCCCGCCCTGCAGGCTGCAGGTAGTTCCTAGGTACTTCCCAGGCACTTCACGTGCAAATCAGGAGGCAGGAGGTAGTCTTCAGGATTCGGCAGCAACACTCTGGAGGAGCGCTGCAAGAGTAGTTGTAGCGCTAGCAGTAGTCTTCAGCGTTGGGCGCTAGTAGCGTTAGCTGTAGTCTTCAACGTCGGGCGCCATAGGAGCTAGAGCAATACGAGAGAGAGAGAGAGGGATTGGGCGGAGGCCAGGGAGACTTACCTGCAACGCTATAGCTCCAGCTTCGTCTTCGAGGTACCTGCAGCATAACGCCAGCTTCACAGGTTAGTACCTGGCACGTAAGAGAGACAGAGAGAGAGAGAGAGAGTTCTTCTTCGTCCTCTCCTCAGTCCACCATCTCCCTCTCACCCTCTCGCGATCTGACTTCACTGCATCAGCAAACTAAGAGAGAGAGAGAGAGAGCTTGGTGATATTTGGATCCAGACTCGATGTTGGGCTTCAAACATTTTGACGAGGGATTATTTGGGACTTGTAACGAAGACTTGGTGTTGACGACTTTCCCGTCACTCCCCTCCTCTTCTTCGTCTGTTCCCCTCCTCTTCGTCTGTGCATGATCAGGACCTTGCGCATTCTTCCTGTGTGTGGCGTCGGGCTTCCTTCACACCTGGTGATGAAGATGATGTATGTTTAGTCTGCATTGCAACATTGCTATCTTGTACTATGTGAAAGAGGTTAGTCCCGGTCAAGTCAGGACTTGTATCTAAATCTTCCACTGCACCATAAAACACCATTTTTGTATGTATCGGGATGTACACTGCTTGTTGAGATTTCACAAGCACTGCATTGTCCATTCAGTCCTTTTCATCACACTGCCTCGGTTTTATATGTACATCGCCCAACTGGGCGTGTAACATCCTCTAAGGACTCGAACACATTCATCGAATAGAGGATCGATTGGTTCGAATGTGCTTGCGGGACGACGATAGAGTCAATAGCTTGGGCCATTTCTCGAGATGGCGAGGGTGTGTCCACCACCTCGACCCTTGCAGGAACAACTATAATTCCTATTGGCCCGACGTGTTTCCCGGAGCAGTGCTAGAACTGCTGGCAACGTTGCTACCCTGGGAAGCGGAGGAGACCAGCGCCTGCCCCATCATAGGCGAAATCTTCTTTGTCACTTTACGATTCCGACACTTCAACTGCGTATGACCATACGGGCCACAACAAATACAAGCTGCACGGGAGTAACGATCTCTCCACACGTCCTCAGTAAGCCGCGCTTTCTCCCATGGAGGAGCATTGGGGTCTACTTGACTCTTTGACCGGGAACCTCCACGACGTCTACCGGTCGCCTTACCTTTTTGAACTGAGGCAGCGACTGCTCCACCCCCTGAAGCTTATGCGCTACCCGACTCTGACCCTACTCCCATCTGGAAGTTGTCGTCTAACTCTATGGTGGTACCATCGTTGTCGACGAACATGATGTGCTCCTTGGCCTTCCAATTAGGGGGCAGTGCCTTTTTCCTACTATTTGTAGTGGGTTCGTGCCCATGCCCGATCTTTGCCTCTAGATCTAAGGCCTTCTTGTTGAACGAGGGGAAATTGTGGAATGTGATCATGGCCTCACTTGCCAACTGATTCCTGAGCTCTATGGGGAGACACCTCAGGTAAGTGGTAAGTAAGACCTGGGGGTCGTAGCACACTCCAGGAACACAGATCAAACGCTCTACCGTATCCGTGGCATCCCTTACTGACCTGAACTTCCTTGAGCTCAGGGTCAATATCCCGTCGGAGGCCTTTTAAGCCTCCGACGCGTCATGCCACTTTTCCTCCACCAGCTTGATGAAATCATCCAGTTTTTGGGTGGCTGCCCAAGCGCGGAAGTCATGACCGTACCTCTATAGCTGAGCGTACTTGCTTAACCACCTCGCTGCACTCCCTTCCAGATAGGAGGCAGCCACGAGTACTTCCTTGTCAGGCAAGGTTAACTTGCACTTCACATAGACTGGCACCGTCCTCAACCATGTGTCGAGGTCCTCACCCTTCTTATCTCTTGAGAAGGGTTTTGATGATGCGATGGCAGTCTTTGGAACCCACTGTCCTTGTCCCGGTACCTACACAACTCCAGGCTATGGGCCCTGGGTTGCAAGCTGCTGCACGTGCTGCTGTTGGGGTTGTGTGCCCCGTGGCTGTGCGGGCTGCGAGACGGCAGGCTGCCCTGCTACGGCAGTCTGCAACAAAGGTCGGGAGAACACTGTCTGGGCAGGAATCTGCACACTAGGACCTGCTGAGAACCCGCATGTCAAAGGCATAACCAGTTGGGAAGCGGCCTGTACTGTAGCTGGATAAATTGTGAATGGGACTACTCTAGTTACCGACGGGACAAAAGGAGGAGGCTGTACCACGGGCCAGGCACCTGGCCCAGATGGTGATGGTGTGACCGGAACTCACCCGATCAGCACGGCCAGGCTCCTTTGAACGTCTTGCAAGAGAGACATATGGTAGTCCAACATCTCCACTACATCTAGCAGTGATGTCCTAACGGTCCTTACATCGTCATCCATGTTTGTCAGGTCGATCTCCTCTATTTCCCTGATGTCCACTTGTCTCCGCTGCATCTTAGATCTACGTCTGAGGATTCTCTCTTTCTCTCCTTGTATCTCATCCAATGCCTGTTGTAGTTGTGCCTCGTGAGCGCTTGCTCACTGAATGGCGACCTCCTCGGGCGTTAACACTGCTTGTTGGCTTGCCATTACACCGGTCATCGCCCTAACAGTCCCTGAACTACTGGCCTGGAACTCTGCTACGCAGAGGTGGCCATGGTGGCTGCTGAGGTAGCTGCCTCCCTAGCGAAAGCTCTGCTTGCCTCTGCGTCCCTCGCCAACCTCTGCTGCCGCTGCCTCAGCCTGGTGGAACAGAAGACGGTCTCCCTTGGTTCCTAACACTACGTGGACCAACGAGAGTCTCCGGCTTGACGAACGCAAGATCCGATCGTTCGGTTCAGGGTTCTCCCTGTCGCTCATATGCTACAGCGATGTGCACTGTCTGCACGAGGGTACACTTGGTTGCCGACCGCAGCATGGTGCTTAGACCGATTTAAAATAATAAAAATAATTAATCAGTGGCATTGTCAGAGGATACACAATTGGGTTCAACAGGTAAGTCCAGATTCCTACAAACGAAGCTATTTTACTTGACTAGTTCGCAAACAGAAAGCAGTTAAGGGAAAACAGAAGTTCTACCTATGTTGTCTGTCAGATGTGTTAATGGCTGTAACATCTAACTAATCAAAATAAAAATAGAATCATTTGTATGGCTGTTGCAGAATGGAATTGTACACAAACTTATTACCCTGGAATCTACCCCTCCCTCAATTCTTCTTGATGTCTTGACGTCAGCGTTCCTGAGCAATCCAGACAGCATGTGTGTCTAAAGGTGTGCACACAGCCCACTCTTGTGCCCCAAGTCAATGCTGAGCTGCCCAGCCCTGCAACATGTTTACCCTCGTGTGCAGCGAGCCTTACACCGACTGATTGGCTGATCAAGAGGCAGTTTAAGGACGGTTCTCATCTCCCCTGTAGGGCTGGCAGCCCCTCATGACCTATCTATAGCGCAGCTGGCAGACAAACGACAAAGTGGCAAAGCGTGCATGCTCTACTCCTGGGGGGGTTGGCATGGTGACCGTGACCCAGTGCTCGTCCAGGGCCCTTCAGATGGCAATGCCCTCTCCTTCCAGATGCTCCACGTGAACAATGTCGACTCTCAAGGTTGAGCGCACTCGACTCCTCACATGAGAGGACTCTCAAGATTGAACAGACATCCTCACGGTAAGAAGTGTCGAAGAGGGTAGATAAGGTTAAAATCAACGTACCTCAAAATAGCTGTCCCCAATCACAAATATTCTCACCAGATGACTTGACGTCGATTGCGATGACCAATCATTGCCTTGGCACAACCAGCATTATACCGTCGTTCCACCTCAGCATCAATCGCACATCAGATGGTTCTCATCACACTGCAAAACACCCAATACCACCACACAGCCTTCCTCGCGATACCCCTCTCCACATGGGTCGCCTGCTTG